CACCCAGTTCATAGCAGGGCTTATATTAATTTTCTGACATCTTGTTTTCTGTAAAGATTTTATTGGTAGGTTTGCAAATGTGTATCAGACTGTGCAATCTCTCCATGAGTTGGTTTTGAAACCCAGTATGGGATTCTGAGATACATTACCAAGGATATTATTACAAGATAAATCATTTGCTTCATTGAACACATACAACAATGCATATTTCCACTGAGATCAGTGACCTTTGATGTGTATCACCAGTGATCAGTCAAGTAGAAACAGTCAAATTATTTTATCAGATTTTCTCAATTGTTGCATGATATTTTCATACAGGACATCTGTTGTTCAAACTCAGGGAAGACTTTATACTGATGAATAAGGTGACCAAGTTTGATAAAGTTTGGAATAGAATTAGTAAAGTTATTATGCACACAATAACAATTATTAACGACGACGACGACAACATCAACAACGACGACGACAACGCCGGACAAATTTTTTCCCTTAATATACCTTTCCCTTCCATCTTTGATGGTACGGGCAAGGTAAAACGATGTGGTATTTAAAGGGCCAGCGAACGGTGCATAACAAAGAACGTGAAACCGCAGTCAATTGTTGTTTTAGTTGCCAGACTCGCATAGTTGAGTTGCAAGGCGGCATAACACATCCAGTCGTAGTGCCAATGAAAACCAATGTTAGTATGAAAACATTTCCATACCATAGAGTGCACACGTGATGTTATATTACTATTACTTATGCCAGAGAGGGGGGGATAGAGGGACTGTGCTGACGCTCATCGTATAACCTACTGCTCAAAAAATTAGGTGGACAACCGGGTGACAACGTTACAAAAAAAGCCGCAGCATCAACACGTTAGTTACTCCTTACATGTCAGCTCACAGGTCACCGATTATTAAATATTTTGTAATATAAAATCTATTTTGAAATTAAATTATACAAAACGGTTATATTATGGTCTCGGTAACAATGATCGTGGTCATGGTATCCTTTTCGCGATCCTCCGTCTCCCTTTTGTCGTCGATGGCGTACTTTTCCTCACAGCGCGCAACGACATGATGATACATATATATACTTAACTATTAAAAATTAACTTAAATTTTTGTTTCGTTTTGATTTTTCCCCTGTTACATAAAATTAAAATATTTTTTTTTAAATATATAGGAGAAAGAGAATATTAATGTATAGTGATCTGTAGAGATTTGTGATCATACATTTGTAATTTCAGAGATTTCTGTTTTTTTATAGTGAGCTTCTTTTCAAGTTCTATTTGTTTATTTACTCTTGCAAATAATTTGAATTCCACCAAAGTTAACTTTATTCTATTCTATTCCATCCACGAGTATATATATATACGATTCATTTGAGTGGTTTGTCAATTTGTCACCAGACATGAAATTTTGTTTGAGATTACTATCAGGGGTAAATACTTCTCTCTCGGGGTTCTCCACACTTGTCAGGGGGAATCACGTCTCGTCTCTCTATCGCGTCCCCTTGAGGTACGGGATCGGGGAAGTCACTTATACTTTACAGTCAAATAAGACACACACAACGAAATACGTTTCAGCTCTCGTCTTAGTCGGTCAATCGAGCACTCTATAAGACACGGCGCCCTGGGGAAAAATCTCCAAGACTATCGCAAGGCTGACCCAAGACTCTCTTAGACTGCGTCAACACTCGCCCCAAGGCTCTCCAGGACTGCCCTCGACTCGACTGCCCAGGACTGCGTCTATCGTGCTGTGCTCCCCAAGACCAACTCAAACTCTCTTTATTCATTTTCAAAACTCTAACCAATTACAAAGCAGTAAAAAGACTCTAGGGCGTAACTTTCAATCATAAAGCCAATCACACTAAGTACTGAATACGTCATATCTTTTGATTAATCGTTCACTACATTAATAACTATGAATACCAACTGTCAGAATCGCGACGGTTATCTGGTAATTAGTTCCAAATCACTGAGCCAAGTTCCGTCCAAAACATCAAATAGGCCTAAACGATGACAGACATAACACAGCAATTCGCTAATAATCAGCTAATTAAGTCGGTTAACAGATACGCAAAAACAAATTTATGACATTACATTGCAATTAATCTTAATTACATTCATTCTGCATTTGTTTTCGTAAATTGTGTACATGTAAGAAATAAACAAAGCCACCGTGTTATATAACATTTATAATTCAGTAAGTGGTAATCATTAGACAATTAGGGTGCCTGTATGTAAATAATAATTGTTTCCCATCAACATGGAAATTATTTTTTCAGTGTGACAGCTATTGTACGAGGGATGCAGCAATGCGTTCGAATGCAGGTGATTGCAAGTTAGCAATTTTACCCCATCTCGAGATGCTAGCTCGTAATGCACTAGTTGCATGGAGTGGGGGATAAATTTATAACTGAACACAGGCATTGTTGTTTGCTGGAAATATCTAAGCATAGCCTATAAAACACGTGCATTGTTGTCAAAACACCGAGTCCGGTAGAAGCACTAAAAATACCACCACCCCCCCCCCCCCCGCCCTGCTCGTAATTTCAAATAAAATTTGAGCATTCTGGTTTTGACTGTTCTTCGGAGAATGAACTTACTTTGCAGAACACGGTGAGCGAGTGAAAGATCGTGACCGACGGAGGACATAATACCATTATAACAATTTTATGTGTGATGTTTTATATACCGAAACCTTCAATAACCGGAAATAACCGGCTGTAACCTGACCTATAAACTGACCTGACCTGACCTACAACCTGCGCTTTGATGCTGTCGTGCACGTGTACTACCATGCATCTTAGACAGTCCTTAAATGTCGTGTAAGGCACGGTATAACGCGTGGCGTCCTGACTCACAGCTTCCAAATGTGCGTCATGGTCACCTCGTGATGTATCCTATCAAATTAAAAATACGCACGATGTGTAGAACGCTGTTTGAAAGCTGGATTTAGAAAGTCGTGTGAAAACTACTTGACATACATATTGCGTGTCATTAATCATACTAACAACCTTTCAACGTGCCTATGTATTTGCTATATTAAATCACGTGAGTTATATGCTTGTAGGCTTGGTTCCTTTCTCCCACGCCAGGTAAAAAAATAATTAACTAGTTCATGAATTAATAATTATTCAACAGACAAAGAACTGTATAATAAGTAGTAATTAATTATATGTTCTAAATAAATCCCTTTCCCCCAAATGCCGTAATAGGAGTGTTAAACGTTAACTCGCCCGCTCAGCTTGGTAATTTATGGCTCTGCGTTTCCATTTGCGCATGCGCTCTGACATTTTATTATCGTGAGGTGAAAGTGTTCTTTTCAGGCTGACATCACCTGATCGTTCGTCTGCAGTGGTGCTTAACAAAGAACTCAACACGTCGGTCTAGCGTTCAGTTAAAATATATAGCATATCACAGGCATTATTCTTCAAAGTCAACAATCAGCGACGTATACGCCGGTAAGTAAGTTGCGTTTAAACTGGTAATTATGAAGGGTCGGTGATGCATGGTTAGATGAGCCCGCTAGTCGGTTAGTTGAGGCCGGCCTGGGTTTTCACGTTCCGCCCTTCCGATCATTTGGAATTTAGCCGGATTTAACCCTATTACTATCAAAACTTATTTTTAGCTGACTACTATATCGTGCAAAGCTGCAATATTTTGTTCATCGCGGTGCTTACTACTGCGACGTGTTATGGTGTGTAATTATACAGTGATACAGCATGTGCAGTGCTGCCGCTTGCTAAGTGTCGGACTGTAGTAGGCGAGGTGCCGATGCGTTGTACATGCTTTATGACAGCCTCGGCTCAAATGTTTGACCGCGTCACGTGATTTTCTGCGTACGTAAATATGCCGGTAATTTTCACGTTATTTATGTGCTGCTCTAATAGTACTAGTACTTGTAGCCATGTGTAAATTTTCAAAATGTAAATATTCCGTTACCGGGCTGGAAAATGATGTGTGGAATGTATCGCGGCTGGACCTGGTTCTTTGTTTCAAATGCAATAGTACTTTGGCTTCAGTGAGTGTGTGCGTTGTCGTACTACAACATCCGTCTGGCCTTGTTTTTATTTACCGCCTCTCTCTGGATTTGAAGTAGCATGCAGCTAACGTCTACACACTTGTGGTGTCACATGTGTAATAATTGGTATTGATTGATTTAATTCTTGAATACCAGTAAGGTTTTCTTTCTTATCTTAATAAAATAAGACCCTATCTACTTGAAAAAACAAACAATACAATAAATATGAAAAATAATTAACTATTTGATCAAAGGTATACTATATGCATTTATTAGCAATTCATCTGGCGGTCGGTGTGATATGTATTTGCAAGGCAGGTGTCAATGCTTGTTTTATTATTACGTATTTTTTTACTATTATTTACTTGGCATAATTTTATTATATTCTCCTTGGTTATAACAAGGGCGGCTGTTTTCTAAATTCACGTTTACTGCATTCACGCGTTTTTACACGTGCTTTCATGAATTCTAGAACTGTTTTGGGTGTAAAGTTTCAATGTACCTGATCATGGACTCTTTGAATACCAAGGTCAACTTTTGTGATCTTTTACAAAATAACCCTGTAAAATGTGTCGTGTAGTCGATTTAAATTAAGTCCAACTGCTTTTACAAAAAGGTATAAAAATGTTGGCGGAACAATTTGTGGTGTTCAAAATGATTACAGTTTGTATCGGATGTCAACGTCTAGTTTGTGTGACCAGAGTTGAGCTGAATCTGTCATCTGGTCTTGATTATGGTTATGATCGACGTCTCCCGGACGCAGACGAAACTAACTGTCAGTGAATGGAACCGTTGTTTGTAACCCCAGCTCGGTATGTGCGGCGTGGACAACTTCAATTGAAGGGCGTAAAAATCGGACTCGATCGGTCGGTGTTTGACCTTGAGGCTACACCCCCCCCCCCCGATGACGCGTGCGCGCCGGCAGTTCATAATGAAACAATTTTACTCAATATTGAATTTGTGCTAACCATAAGTTGTTTGTAGTAATCTCAGTTACGCCGTTTTTGTAAATTGTATTTATACACTTGAAATAAAGTCAGGGAACTACTGTAAAAGCATTAATGATTATTCGCTGGTTTTTAAATTTTTATATTTTCGCCGATGAGAAAAATCTACTGAATTAAATCCACATGAACATTCTTTCTCTTTATGAATATAAAACTCAGTACAATTACTCAAAACATCAAAATAGTGAAATTAAATGTCAGTGAAAATAAATGGTTTCACAGTAGTCATAAACTGTACTCCTAGATTCACTCGATGTACCCTGCTCAATCTGAGCTGTCCGTCGTCATGGGCCCTATTAAAATGATTGTCGGCTAGCCTTTTCGTGAACGTAGATTATGGTTTTCCGAACTGAACAAAAGCTGAAGAATCTATTCAGACTGAAGCTTGTATAGGTACACTGAATAGACTTGCTACGAACACGCCAGCAAACAATTCACAAACTTGAAAGGACTAGGTCCAAAAATGGGCATATAGGTTGGTTTACACAACGCAGCGCACCAGGCAAGGCATGCATTGCCCCCGAGTTGTGTGCTATAATCGCGTGTCGCTTTTTACTATAATATGGGCTTTCATTCTTTATTATTATTATTTCACGCTTTTATGAGCCCAACGACAATCTCTCTTTTTCTTAGATTGTCTGCATTCTCAAATATACAATATACAATAAACAAATAAATAAATAAATATCTACATTTAAGTAAAATACCAAACAAGACGTGGTAAACGTACTAGTATTCACGGGAGGGAACTTTCTATAAATAGAACCTTAGTTAGCATGTTTAGCAAGGCGTAACTTTAATTTATTAAAAAATGTAACATAATTAAAGAATCCAACAGTCACCAACGTTTTGGTTTTAATCTTAGTACAAAAGTGGAAGGGGGAAAAAGCTGTATGGGCGCATATCCGTGGAATCCGTGTTAAAACATGGGGAAATATAGGCAGTATTCAGAATAACAACCATAATTAGTATTTATGACGATTACGTCATGATTTGTTTATACATGTTAACAAAGAATCCCATTCGATTCAATTTTTATTCAGGTTCAGTTTGACCCATTGTTTGGGTGAAAAGTAGATGCCCATAACGTTTTACTTTTTACGATTATTGCTAATAAACACTACACAAGTCTTATTGTTATAGTCTGATGTTATGTTTTTATGGCGGTCAACTACCTTGAGCGCCGATGTTTGTAAATCAATATTGCTTTGCCAATAGAGTATCCACTAAAGCACTCTGTGAAATACTGGCAGTACGAAAGTACAATCAGGTACACACGACCGATTGCCTTGAAACATTTGACTCATTTTACGACGTTTGTTATAATAAATACCTGCCGTGTGACATGCGGCAGAACTATTGTGGAGCGCGGGGCATCGTTACATGCGTGGGGGTTACATGCGATTTGGGGGGGGGGGGTTAATCTCGTAACAAATTTCGTCAGTCGAAGAGTTTCATGTATTAACAGTTTATGTAGATGTCAGCTCAGGTTCGTTGTCCAGGATCACCGAGCAGATCGTCTACTTTTCACAAGGCCGTCGTCCATTGCGCGTGCGTGATCTACAAATGCAGTTCCGTGTTTCGTCATTTACAGTACCCCTCTTGACCTTCAAATTAGGACAAGGTCACCCAACTAAATATTGTCTGCATCCTTTACAGTCCACCATTCACTGTCGTATTCAGGTAACTGAAACACCATGCCGGTCCATACCCGAAGTCAGAAGAGCACGAAATCGGAATCGCGTGTTGAAGGCAAAGGGAAACAGAACATGGAAGAAAACAAAAGAAAGGGAGGTGAATGGGGGCGTGCATGGTAAGCATTGACAGTATCAAAAACGTAGATGTCAAGTATTTGTTTTCACTTGTTTAACGTTGGATCACGGGTTCGTATTTCGGAATGGAATCGCTGATACGACTGCTAGTTACCTTATGGGACAAAAAAGTTATAATGGGACACGACGCGCGATATACTATGTTAATGACAGTTTATAAATGCGTGTATTTTAATCATGTGGAACTAGACTCATTAATATTTTGTTTGCCCATGCTCAACCAGAAATCACTTCTAATGGGACTGGAGGGTGCAATAGTGACGACGAACACGTATATTATATATTTTTTTTAATTCTCGTTTGATACTGAGTGTTTATGACCAATTATGACTTATCATAAATTTGAAAGTAAACCAAATATTACACACACGCAGTAATTGGTATTTACGTACAAAAGCGACCAGCGCGCATGTGTAAAATTATCTTGTGTCGTAAAACGTTTTCTTTCTTTTTTTTTAGTTCACGATATTGTCATAATCCAATGTATTTATTAACATGCAGTATTATAACAATACACATTTTCTCCATATAGAACTTTAAAATGAAAATTCCCAACGGAACATCCGTGGTTACGTACTGAAAATATAATACATATAGGATATGATTCTTTGTCTAGATCCGACAAAAAAAACTACAATCAAAACATTATCGTTTGTCCTGTCAAATGCAGTTGGTCCATATTGTATCTTTGTCATTTCACTATAAATACTTATGTTGATAACATAGCTACTTTTTCATGCGTCTGTGATGTTTCATTCCAGGGAAGTTGACTTATTCTCGTACATTGGTGTGTGCGGTCTGCTCATGTTTGCCCCAGTCCTGGTTGTGTATTTCTTTGTGTCCTGTGATAAGTACCAGTGCGCCCTAAGTGGGCCATTGCTTGACGTTTTCAGCGGCAAAGCAACTCCATACGATATATGGATGAAGGTGCCTTATATGACGTCACAAGCCTGGAAAGTAGGACTTGTATGGATTTCGTTCCAGGTATGTTTTTTTTTATTCTTAGCCATATTGTAATGCTCTTTGCTATACAGCGCATGAATTTGTTTTATCACATCAATGAAACAATTATTTTCCCGTTTTTTTTTTTTTAATACATATCTTTGAACTTGAGGGACTTTGATAGTAACGTATAGTTTTGATTTATTGCTGTGGCGAACTCAATGAAATTTTTGATGTGCTTCTAATATATTGAATACAGTATTTCATATTTGAGATATATGCCTTCAATACCTTCTGCGTATTCTTTGATTGTTATGCGACTAGCCATACGTGTTTACAATCGTAGCAGTTATGGACTCAGAGTTTTAGCCTGATTGATTCATGGTGACTCAATCGTATAGCTTCTAGAAACAGAGATCACCCTGTAACAGTTAATTGTTCAATCATCCAACAATAGAAATTTATTTAATCTCATTGAAATCAAGCAGTACAATGGTACTAATGCAGTCAAGGAAAATTTACATAAACTAGACGATTAAATATGCACAATAAGATTGTGTTAAATAAGTAGGATATATTACAATAATGAACAATAAATGTAAAATTATTCCAGTAATTGCAAACAAAAATTATAGATGCATAAAAAGCACTGGTATGAATACATTCTGGTTGTCTCTAAATTTGTTTAACATATTGTGCTTTCCTCGCATCATTTCTCAACTTATTCCAGATGAAAAGTGCCTAATATCTAAATGAGTGTAGTCCATGTGTAGTGGTACTGACACAGGGCACACGACGCTATGCCCACTTGAATGCATGGTACTGTTTCTTTATTCGTTATTAAAACACTAATGTATGTAGCAGCATGCACGGTATGAAAACATTTGGTATAAAGGTAATATAATAACCTTCAAAAACACTACCTTGGCACTATCTACCGTGGCAACGTTGTGCATATATTGTGGGTTACGTACATGTATACATGTATATTTATTTGTACCATAGTCGTCTTGAAATTGAAACCATGGGATAACAAGATCAAAGTACCGACAAATTTGAATATGTGACTTAAACTGATTACAAATTAATAAGTTACACGTATTCACCGTGACAATTTGATTGGATGAAGGTTAGCAACACGTAGTACAAATTAAATTAGAGTCACGTGACGGTTATCATAGTGTTACTACACGTGACCCTAATTTTTTTAAATACTAGTCATAGCAGCACTACCGAATGTAATTCTTAAGCGTACCTTGCGAACAACTGGTACTGGCATTCGCTGGTAAAACCACCGTGATACTGTGGTAAAACGTCAACTTAGTGGTCTTTCCTATACTTTAGTTCCGTACTCCTGATTTGACTGCTGGTCTTCGTGGACTGCTCCCACTTCGATTGCTAGGTGCACAGAATATTATTCTTCATTTTAACTGTTTTACCTCAATAGAGGCGATGTATACTCCACGATTTGAACGATCGATATTGTTTTGATTTTCAAGGTCCCGGATCACGTGACGCACCGCCTGTGTCAATTTATAGTCATTGCGTATTACTATTTATACATCTTGCAATGTTTGATCTTGTTTTTATACTCGTATAATGGGGTAGTAAATTTTGAATTGACAGGTAGTCCAGTGTCTGTGTGGCAGCCGTGTAGAATCATACCTCGCATTTCCTCCTTGCAGTCTGCTCGTTTATACTAAGTAAATTTACATATGTGATTAAAATCATCATTTTTATCACCCTTGTCACCGTGATTTCGTCGGTAAAAAAAAACTGTTTCCACAAGTGTTAAAACTTATTGAACTTTTCATACAAAACAGTTTGAAACAACGAACAATGCTTTGAACAGACTTAACAGTTCTCATCTAGAAGCAAAATTATAAATAATCTTGGTTTTAGTATGAATGCCTCTAACCAATCACATTTAGAATTAATGACATGATGATGCACGATTATGTAGGATTTCTGATCACGTGATAATGTTCAACAATTTAACTATGCATTTGCGCGTAGACCTTAGAAAACAATTCTAAGGTCTATGATTTGCGAAAGCTTGTTGCAATATCTTTATATCTAAAAACTTTTAAAAAAATAAGCCGTTACAAATTATGTGGTTTTTATGAGAATGTGCAATAACTGTGAGTAAACAGTGAAATCCGGCAAAATAAAAAATTGACGGTTGTCGAAGAGAGCGCCATTATTT